CACACACACACACACACACACACACACACACACACACACACACACACACACACACACACACACACACACACACACACACACCTCCATTCACACTTTCTACCATCAGCCAGCACCATGCAAACAATAAAGTGCTTTGTAAAGTGCAGGTATATAGACAATGATCTGGAATACCATCAACTCCCTCCCCCTCCCACCAAAGCCCCTCCATGCCCAGGACCCCTGATCAGGCTTGCTAACTTCTTCCTACCCAATGGGCCCATGTTACTACCTAGCCACCCTCCAGAATGTCACCTGAACACAGACTCTGTACACAGTAGGAGTTAACTACCTGCCAGGCTGAACTAAGCTAACATCAAATTCCTACCCCCTTGCCCGGGATGAATTATGGTCTTAGGTGATCTGGGCAGTGAGAGAGTCAGCTTGGGGTATCTAAGACACTACCACCAGCACATGATCCTAACCAGTGTCTCTATGGGGCAGTCAGGGGCCTCCTTCCTTGTTGAATTCAACCTGCCTTTTACTGACTGTCCTCCCCATCCACCTGGGCAGCCTCTGCAAAGGGCTTTCTAGAAGTCTCCATCAGACTCCCACGTCACCAAACCGGACACTGTGTGGGAGAGGTGGGTGTGGAATCTGGGGCTGAGTCCAAGTACCTTGCAAGAATGGGAGGAGAGACAATTAGAAGCATCTACGGTGAGAGAAGGCATAGGAAAACTTAAGAGTACTGGGAAAGCTTTTCACAGCCTGCCTGCCCTGCTGGGCTCCAGCTCAGCCTCTGTAATGGCAGCTGCCAGAGAGGACAAGAGGAAAATTACAGTCATCTGGAGAAAATTGTGGCCCAAGCATCTCTGAGCCACAAGCCTTCCAACGGCTGAGCTGGGAGTATCGGAGAAGTTGGGACCCAGCTCAGCTCCTCCTAAGAAGGACAAAGACTATGATTTTCCACTCCTGGAGTCATCATCCGCTTCCCTGCCTCTGTCTCTTTGGTCCAGTGGCTATCATTCACGAAGCTCAGCATGCCTTGGGGCGAGGCATCTGGACCATACCATCTGACTGGAAATACTATGGGTTATAGAACCAGGTGGATGGAGAGGACACGGACAGGTGACCCTTCTGCAGCCTGGAAAAAAAAAATGAGTAATGGGTAAACTGAGGCTAGAGGGAGTCAGAGATGAACTGGGCCTCAGCAAATAGACAGTAGTACCTAGACAGGAAGAAAAGGCACTAGTCTCTGATAGTCTCTCTCTTTCTCTGTCACCCTTTCTCTCTCATTTTGGGGATCAGAAATGGTGATGGAACCCAGAACCTCACACATGCTAGGCAAAGCCCTATCGCTGAAGCTATTCCCCTGCCCCGGCTTCTACCTCGCGTCAGAAGCTGTGCCCGGCGGTCTCGAAGTCCCCGCTGTTCTCGGCGCCACCACAGTTCCACCTGAGTCTTGCTCGTGCAGCTGAGGAGCCGCATCTCTGCAGACGCACACATTCTTCATCTCACGCGCTGGATTCCCAAGTCTTTCATTTAGCCTTCAGGTCTGTTGTAGAGACGTCTAGGAACTCAGCAGCAACCCGAAAAATCACCTCTTCTTGGAAGTCTTCTGAAATAACTTGGCCAGATGAGAGCAGGGATAGGAGACAGTCCTCGACGATGGCATTGTCCTTTCACTCCATCCCTGGCCTAGAGTTCGAGTTACCCATCAAAGAAGTTCTTTTGTGCACAGTCCAAATACAACTGGGTGTCCAGGAAATATCATCAAATGGTGGTGGTATCATAAAGGTGCTTCTCAGGAATTCTTGATACCTGCCTCCTTTTCTCCACACTCCAGCTGAGCAAAGTGTCACGTTGGGAGATAAACTGATGGAACCATAGCCTGATGAGATCAAGTCCTCAGAAGCCCCCAGTGTATGGGCTGTACAGTTGGCCTATCCAGAAAGGCATTCAAGGCTCTCTCCCCCAAGTGGCTGTATTCTTTATCAGAGTCTAGAGCCCTCCATGATGCTCTTGCAGTGTCTGAATATCACTATTTTGTCCCTTATTTATCATCTTTCAAGCTCAGTGGTCAGCCATGTTGCTAGAGGACAAGAGATGCTACCAAGAAGCACAAAGCAAGCTTCAGCTCCAACCATAGCCTCATCTGGAAGTCAGTGTCCATGCCTCCAAGTATTTGGGGTCTCCTTTGTGAATGCTGCAGTCTTTACAGTCTTTATAGTCATCACAGTGGTTTTAACCTGTCCCCAGCCTCAGACTCAGTGAACTTCCATTGTTGGAAGGATCCAGCCCTTTTTAAACAGCCTTGAGGTCACAGCTTGATGCCAAGTTGGTGAGTGGGCGTTTAGCACCTTGCATTGGGAAAGGAGTTAAGCCGCAGAAACTAGCCTGGGTCACATTCCAGGGTCCAGCCAACTTGGCATTCCTGTGGGGATCAAGGCTGGTGTATGTCCAGCCATGAGTCCAGAACAACTAGAAGGCATAAAATGGTGCTTTGCTGTGCAATTAGATACTGTTGAGTAGGCATCATTGAAAGTTCCTTAAGATGTCAGCTGTCATGTTTAAGACACATGGTTCTGCTACTAGAGTCCCCTTTTCCTATCTCTTCTTCTGCAAACTTGGAACCATCTTTTATGCTAGAGTCACTGGTCATGAATGATCCAGACCACAGGGAAAGCACTGCCATCTGCCCTCTCCAGTCTCAAGTCAAAATTTGAACACACTCAGCCCTGTCCCAGGAAAACTCATAGTCTCCAAGTTTTCTATCCAATTCTGGTTATCTGGATTTTTCTCCAAAATTGGAACTCGATGATCAGCTCTAGAACACTGAAGAGGTCCCTCCTTCTGGACATCTAAGTTTCACTGGAGGTTGAAGCTAGCTCCTCCACTCTAGAACATCAAAAAGGTCTCTCTTTTTGGACATTTGAACTTCACCAGAGGCTAAAGATGGACTCTCCACTCTAGAAGATTATCAAAGAGGTTTCTTGGTGGACATATCTGAGCTTCATTAGAGTTCTATCTTTAGAACAATATGGAAGTCTCTCTTTCTAGACACATGAGCTCCATTAGATATTGAAAATGAAATTCTAGATCTAGAAAATCAAGTCTCTATTTCCAGATATTTATGCTTCACTGAAAATGGTCTGGATTTTTTGTTTTGGCACATGAAAAAGATCCATAGCTCTGAACCTCTGACAGTCACTGGAGTTATGTACACCTTTTTGTAGAAAACTAAGGTGGCCTCCTTCTGGATGTCGAAGTTTCAGGACCTTGAGCTGTGATTTTACCTCTAGACTGTTAAGGAGGACCCTCTTTCTAGACTTCTGGACTTCAAAGAATGGAAGTACAGTCTTTGTTTTAGAACATCATGAAGATTCTTTTTTCTGGACTATTGGACATCTTCAAAGGCTAGAGGTGGAGCCGGAACTCTGGAACATAGTGGAGGTCCCCTTTCTGGACACATCTGGGCATCATCAAAGGCTGAAAATGGAGTTCTGCTTCTGGAACATCATGTTCTCTTTTTCTGGACATCTGGGCATCATCAAAGGCTAAAGGTGGAGCCCTGGTTCTAGCACATTATGGAGGTCCCTCTTTCTGGACATCTGAACATCAAAGGCTAGAAATAGAGTCTTTGTTTAGAAAATCATGGAGGTCCCTCTTTCTGGACATCTGAACATCATTGAAGGCTAGAGGTGGAGTCGTGCTTCTAGAACATCATAGAAGACCCTCTTTCTGGACATCTAGACATCAAAGGATGGAGGTGGAGCCCTGGTTCTAGCACATCACGGAGGTCCCTCTTTCTGGACATCTGGACATCAAAAGCTGGAAATAGAGTCTTTGTTTTAGAAAATTTTGGAGGTCCCTCTTTCTGGACATCTGGACATCATTGAAGGCTAGAGGTGGAGTCATGGTTCTAGAACATCAAAAAGACTGTCTTTCTGAACATTCAAGCTTGAATGGAGACTGAGGACTGGAGTCACAAAAGGCTGGAGGTAAAGACTTGGTTCTAGAGCATCATGGAAGAACCTCTTTCTGGATATCTAGACATCATCAAAGGATGGAGGTGGAGCCCTGGTTCTAGCACATCATGGAGTTCCCTCTTTCTAGACATCTAAACATCAAAGGCTGGAAATAGAGTCTTTGTTTTAGGAAATCATGGAGGTCCCTCTTTCTGGACATCTGAATATCATTGAAGGCTAGAGGTAGAGTCATAATTCTAGAACATCATGGAAGACTCTCTTTCTGGACATTGAAGCTTGACTGGAGACTGGAGACTGGAGCCACAAAAGGCTGGAAGTGAAGACTTGGTTCTAGAGCATCATGGAAGACCCTCTTTCTGGACATCTAGACATCATCAGAGGCTGGGGGTGGAGTCCTACTTCTAGGACATCATGGAGCTTCCCCCTTTCTGAACATCTGAGTCTCAAAGACGAAAGATGAAGTTCTTCCTCTAAAAAATTAAGAGTGTCCATCTTTCTGGATACCTGTGCATCACTCAAGACTGGAGCCAGAGTCTGAGCTCCAGAGTGTCAAAAGAGTCAGTCTTTCTGGACACCTGAATTTCTTCAGAGGAGAGAGATGGAGTCTTGACTCCATAAAACCAAGGAGGCCCCTCTTTATTCACATATAAGCTTCATTGGAGACTTGAGCCAGAGTCCTAGATCTAGAATATCAATAGCTGAGCTTCTTCAAAAATTAGTTTGAGTTTTGGCTCTATATTGTCAATTATGTTCATTTCTCTGGGACATTTGGGCTTTATGAGAAACTGGAGACGGATTCCCAGCTCTAGAACATCATATCAGTCTCACTTCCAGATGTTTGTGCTTCACTGGAAGCTAGAGCAGGGCTTTAGCTCTAGAA